TAAGGAGTTTGCTGTGCTTAAGTACAATTTGGAGGTGTTTGTGTTGACATGATAGATACCTTAAAAGGGTGACACAGAGTGCTTTACATCAGATTCACTAAGAAAGTGTTTGGCAGTCATTTAGGACTTACTGAGTAAACTATTCCAGAAAGAGCTGTAAGTTGCGCTGCCAGTAACAGCCCCGAGTTTGGCTGGATTCCTCCTCACTGTGTGTACTGAGAAACCATCAGGCCCAGTCACCTCCACTTCCACCACATGGTAGTCTCTTAACCTGCGGCATGAAGGTACATGAAGCTGGAAGATGCAGGCAGGATGGTTTCAAACAAACAATCCGACTTTTAGAAGCACTCACGCTGTATCTGACACAATCTCTCCCTGGACACCAGTGAAGCCCAGTGTCCCTGCTGCCACTGCTGCTGCCGCCATGGTGTTCACATTGTTAGGAGCGAGTGGGCACAACTCTGCAACGGAGCCTCTGAACAAAACACGCCTGCCTTCTCCCTCCGTCCAGTCAGTGAGGACGTCTCCTGTCAGCCGAAAGCAGGAGGGATGCTTGGACATTCTGATGAACAAAGCCTAAAAATAAACCATGAAAGGAAAAAGCAACATTAAATCGCTTATATGTTCATTTCCATGGTTTTAAACACTGGACTATCCTTGTTTTACCTTTATTTTCCCACTGTCATTCAGCCTCTGGATGTCCTGGCCTCCCCATAATGCACCACTGGGGACGTAGAGAGTCCTGCCATACTTCTGAGCAGCCTGACTCAACTTCTGGTTCAGATCAGGATCAGCGAGGGCAGATGGAGAGCCCACCTAGAGGAGGAAAAAAACGAAAAACAAAGGTGCAAAACAAATGATGAAGTGTCGTTGACTTCTCAAGTGTTTGTGGGTTAGGATGACCGTCTGTCGACTCTGAATTTTGAACCTGTTATTGAATTTAAATCTACAAAGCAAACGCTATCAAACCAAACGCCCGTGTACATGCGAGACTCTTCAAACATTAATGTGGAGATATATTTAAAATGTGATTTACAGAATGCTTCATAGTCACAGCTGCAGTGGAGATACCATGTGCTTGGTCTTTTATGCATTTAAAACCAGTCTGTGACTGAGAAGTGTTAATTGGAAAGTATCAAAAACAGATGAGGGTGAATTAAGACTTTGCTGGGGTTAATCCTGAAGCATATGAAAGACTGTTGTCTGCAAAAAAGTGAACATTGAAGTATAGAAATGAGCATTTTCCTTATTTGCAAAGCAAATAGCCAATTTAAATAGCCAGATGCTCTCTCTGCCATCCTATTTCTGATGGTTGAGTAAAAGTTATGATTAACATTAACAGTTTGTTTCTCTATGTGAGGAATGAGTAGTTTGTGAGAAAGAATTGTGCTTAACAGTCAAATACTTTTGAGGGGTCAGTGAAGAGGACAGTGCAGGACTTTTCTCCAAGGAGGAGAACATTTAATGACCTTCAGCTGGACCAAGATGGCGATTGTTTACAGTCGAATGACATGATATTCTGTCCATTTTATGTACGCTCACAGTACCTTAAGGAAACAGTACCTCAACTGACCACTCGTTAAAACCAAGATATGCAGAAGAGCATCTCTCAATGCACAGCTTTGAAGCAGACAGGCTACAGCTGCGGAAGATCACACCCTGTCAACTAAGAACAGGAAACTGAGGCCACAGTTTGAACATATTCACCAAAATTAGTCAAAAGAAGATGCTGCCTGGTCAGATGAGGTTTGATTTCTGCTGTGACATTCAGATGGTAGGGTCCAATTTTGTTTTAAACAACATGAAAGGATGGACCCATTCTGCCTCGTATCAGTGGTTCAGCCTGATAATGATTTAATGGTATGAAATCATAAAAATGACAGATTTAAATCAAACTGTATCAGTCATTTAAAATAAAATCTGTCAAGTACTATAAATAAAATATAACATTGGAAGAATCTATCAAAAAAACAAACAAAGAAATGTACCAGCTGTTTCACTGAAATAGCAAAATCAGAAGTAGCTCACCATGAAATGAGACTGAGACAGAAACTGGAGCCCAAATTCTTTAACTATTTGAGGATGGCACACCTCAACAATCACATCGCATCGCCTGCAAAACACACAATGATTATTCCTCAGAAGGGAAATTCCCGAAGATAAATACAGTACGTTTATAGCGTTCCTGATTTAATACATAAAAACGCGTGTGCACAGAACAATCATGCTGTGTGCACGTGGGTTTTTAATGCTTATGCATGTGTTTGCACCTTTCTGCAAAGGACGATAGATCCCCGAGTATGAGTTCAGAGGGGACTAAACCACTGAGCTTGCCAGAATTCCTGTTCCAGACAAAACCCAGAGTCAAACCGAGGGCAGGTCCATCTTTATTGATCCTCTCCACTAGGTACTGACCTAAATTGCACACACATACACACACATGCACATGCTTTCAGGAAATAATATACAGCAATTTAAAGAGTGTTTGCCTGGGATTTAAAAGGGGAATTCCGACCTAGATGTCCAAATCCTACGACTCCAATCCTTAAAGAGGAAGAATCAGTCGCCATAGCTGTACAAAGGAAGCAAACAAAGCAGATAAAAGCCCAGAGTGCAGTCGCAAAGCAAACCAATACACATGCACACATATACATGTCTATATTGACCTAAAGCCCTACCTGATATCAACCCCTTCTTGCACAGTTACTGCATTTATTACTCTATACACCCAGTAAACTTACACCCCCTCCAGCGTTGTCCCACACCTTGAATTTCAATAACCAGCCCAGAGCTGCAAGAACTGTGTTCAGGAAAAGCACAAAGTTTGACTCAGAGTAGCCTGTAGTTAATCATTGTTGCAGTTCTGTGAAATTATTACACACAGGGCTCCTCCTCCATCTGCTTGAACTTAAATCTCAGCTTCAGAAAAATGTAATTGTTTGAAATTTTCAAAACAAAATCCAGTCAAGACGAGCACTGAACATCATTCAACATACAAAGCATTTTATTCTTCTTCTATGTCAGAATGTGTGTCATACTTTCTTTGATCACAAACAAAAGAAATGTGTCATATTCATCAGTATCTATGAGCAAACGAGCCCTTTCCTTTACTTTAAATGTGAAGCACTGGAAACTGGATGGGGCTTTGGCATAGCGTGTTTTTCATAACCATCCACATTTTTTGAACAGTTGCCACAAAAAAAACCCAGTATTGTTATAACAAATTTACAGCTGTTTATCAAAGAATCCAATCCTTTCCTGTAAAATGAACTTTTTTTTTTTACACATTTGTTTTATGAAACATTGAGACATAAAAAAGTCTCAACAACAACAATCATCAGGTTTTGTCAGTTTCCTGATATTAAAGTTTACATTTCACAGTGATAACACCTGCACAGTTCAACTTTGCTCCTTCTGTGCTGATGTCACCAACGTAATCCTGCTGGTGAGGTCAAGAGTGAGCAATTTGACCAGCAGAACTCAAAACAGGGAGCGAATTGATTATCAGAGCACAATCAGACAGTGAGGATCGGTCTAAAGTTCATCGACATGAAACGCAGGCAGATTGAAAGACACGACAGAGGTTCAAGACGAGGGGTACAGGAGCTGAGGATCGTTGGAGCTGAGGATCGCTGGCAAACAAGACAGTAAAGACACTTTTATCCTTCTGAGACGTCTGCCCACAGCAGTGCTGTTTGAGAGAAGATGGACATCCTTGAGACTCACGCCTATCACAGGCGGCAGAAGAGAAATAAGGTACAGTTCACCTCTATTTACAGCCAGTATTTCTTTATTTCTAGCAGCATTTTGCTTAGTGAAACCAGATGGAAAGATGTTTGAAATCATAACTTGAATCTACTTCTGTACAAAAACTTGATGCATCTCTCCCTTTTCTTTCTTTTCGTCCATTTCTATCAGTCCTGTGCTCTCTTTCTGTCTCTCTTGCCTTTCTTTTTGTCTGCAGCTCTGTACTTCTACCTTTGGACTCCTGCTTCGCCCCCGTCCATCATGTCTGCAGGTGTCAAATCTGCACCAGTACTCCTATTGGCTGCAGTGGTGCTGAGCTGGAATGGAGGTCAGAGTGTCCTAGGTGTGGTGGGAGGACTGGTCTTCTCTGCTGTTGGTGACTGCTGCCTGGTGTGGCCTGAGCTTTTCCTGCATGGTAAGCGCTGATGGTGGATGAGTTCAAAAAATTGAGCATTTTTTTCTTTTATGAAAGGTCTATTGCTCGCACATGCCTCATTATTGTAAGAAGTATTTGTAATAGTTAATTTCAGAGAGTAAATTTAACACTCCAGGATTCATAAATTGCAAATCACATGCCCATTATGTCCTCAATATCTGTTTCAGGAATGGGTGCATTTGCTGTGGCTCATCTGTTGTACTCAGTTTCCTTCCTGTCCAGTCGTTACACAAAAAACTCCTCTTCCTGCTGGAGCCGTTTTCTCTATCTGATCCTGTTCATGGTTGGAGGAGGTTATTACACATTTTTATTTCCATTTCTGCAAAAGGACCCAAACTCTGAAGTGCTAACTCCAGCTGTTGGAGTCTACTTTGTCTTAATTACTCTAATGGGTCTATTAGCAGCTAGAACTAGCAACGTAGCAACACTTTTGGGAAGTCTGAGCTTCATGGTATCCGACGCAACGCTGTCTCTGCAAGTTTTTAAGGTGGTGGCACCAATGCAGCACGGTAATACTGTTGTAATGGTGACCTATTATCTGGCACAGCTTCTAATCGCTGTGGGTGACATGCAAGCAGTAGAGGACACGGATGAGTTTTCAAAATGGAAGAGGTCCTAACCAGTATCCCTGTTGTACTCCAAAAGCTTGTACTACATTAGCTCTCCATTTCCATAAATATTTGTTGTAAGTGGTTAAAAAAAAAAAGAAAAAAAGAAAGAAACAAAGAAAAGGAAATAGATTCAATTTGCAATGTTCTAAAAATGAAAGAATTTATTTCCAAATGAAATGGAAAAACATTCAGTAAACTTCAGTTTATAATATTTATATTCTGTGATTTAATGATCAAAATATTTTCTTTGACATGCATGTTTACATGTAGATTGTGCATATGGTGGCATGATGTGAACTGCTCATTATACTGTATGTTTATACACGCAATCCCATGTTTTATTAACAGTAATAAATATTATGTCAACAACTGGGAGTTTTGTTTCAAGAAAAACTGAAAAGAGACAGGAAATGAAAAAGTAAAGCATACTATAATAAAATAAAATAGATTTAACTAAATTCAGCATTTGTGTTCTGCCAATTAAAATAGAGTACTATACATACTACCTTTAATGGAGATGCTTGGGATGACAGTTAAGATATTAAGAATGGCAAACATTGGACTGAAATAGTTGTTTTATACATTACAATATACAGTACAATTATTTACACAGTGAAATCCAGGTACTGGATCATGTGCAACTGTCTTAACAGACCAAACAACAACAACAACAACAACAACAACAAAAAACATGTCCCAGCTCATGAATGTTCTGTTATCTTTTCATACTGATGCCAAAACATGTCAGGGTAAAAAAACAAACAACAACAAGCAAACAAAGAAAGAAAGAATTAGAAAATCAACGATCCATCCCAGTGTCATCTGACTGCTGCCTGGAGAAACACATAACCCTGAGTCGCTCACAGAAATCAAGTTCTTCCTGTTGGAAACAAACATGTGACTTTAAGAGGCAGAAAAGTAAGATTCAGCTTATTTTTTTAATTTTCAATCTTTTAAACTTAAAAAAAAAAAAGCAGTCATATATCTCTTTATTGTTTACAACTAGTTAGCCTTTAACCACAATCACCTCTAGTTTTACATGGAAAAAAACACATTTCATGACTGAAATGAAATTTTGTAGCATAATCACAACATTTCTATCGAGTTTTACGATCTGATTCTCAGGCACATGAATTACCTGACTTTCTTCTTTGCCTTGGAGCTCTTTGGATCTCTGTCTGAGTAATTCCTCCAGGCCCAGAGCAGGATTTCTACAGTCATTGAGCCCTTGTGGAAAGTCTTCGACCAGACTACACCACCATCAGAAACAAGGACGGGTACAGTTACTAAAACCATCCATGAAATAATGTCAGATTTTCAGTATCATAATGAATGTTTCTTACCAGCAAAGGGCACCAAGCACATGTTCATGGACGGGTGAATGCGGTGTACGGAGAACTGATACCAGCTGCTGTACCATACCCATGGCAACAAGCGTGTCTGCGGGGGGAAATAATCAGGAATATACCTGAGTTTATATTGAGTCAAGCCATTTTTTAAGGAAAGCTTGCAAAAACTTTAGATAGATGTTTAAAGAGTAAACCAATTAAATATCCAAAGTAAAAAATCTGCTGTAGTTCTTCTTGTTATGGTCTACTATGTATGTGTAATTAAGATTAAAATAGTTTTTCCATGTTTTCCCCGGACAAAGGTAGCAAGATCAGTGAGAAACACACATACTGCAAGGATAAAACTAAAAGGGAGAAAGTATAAAAGTTTTAACACGAGATTTAATTGCTAAAAAAAACGTAAAAACTTTTTATGTTATTGTACCCTTTAACTGCAGAACTTGCCATATTGGTGACTAATCATGGATGAAGAGCAAAGCTGCAAATAAAACATCTTCATTTTCCACAGAAAAGGTGTCTCTATAAGCTTTTAGAGACATTATTAAACCATGTTGTGTCTTAATAAAAGGCTACAAAGTGTTGTATTGTCAAAGTAAACCTACTGGTACTGGTGCAGGTTTACAGCACTATCCTGTCTGAATGTCCTTCCCATCCATACCTTTCTGTTCGGGATGCGACATCAGCAGATTGAGCAACAGGAAAGCCGACTTGGTTCTGAGCTTCTCGTTCTCTGACTGCATGCCTCGCATCAGCACTGAGAATCCATCGTGGGACAGGAAGGCCTGGAGACCTGCCTCCTGCTCTCGAACCAGACCTATGATTACGACAGGACAGTTTTGTTGAGGGTTGTGAAGCACAGAGCTGGGACAAAAAGACGGTGCCATGTGTCATTTGGCACTAAAGAAGAAAGCAACAGATAATTTAGGCTTAAAGTTGAATTGACAGGAAACATGAGATATAACAATATCATAAACACAGGCGATACAGTTGGGAGGCTGGCCACTAAAAATAGCTGTTGAATAGCCTGTCCATCTAAAACATCAACTATGGGAACCAACTGTTGACTGCACTAAAATTCACAGACTGTCACATGGACAATCTGAGGTTCTGGATCATGTATGTGAAATGACTGATGTGCAGCAATTGGTTGCAGGCTTGTTGTCATGAAGCTCAGTTTTGAAGCATGCGTGCATTATGGCTCTACTCACATGAGACAGCGTAAAGAGCTTTCACCCTGACGGTGGGGTTTGGGTCAGAATCTGTCAGCTGCAGCAGCTTCGGCAGCGCCCCGATGCTAAGCAAGTGGAACTGCAGCTGTGGCATGTTCTGGGCACAGGAGGCAATGAGCTGGGCAGCACGCCACCTCAACCCACTTTGAGCATGATTAAGATACTGGGAGACGCACAACTCCAGCCCACCAAGGGTCATCAGGTCTGCAGAGGACAGGATGCAGTGAGCGTACAGTGAACACACGCTGTCTTTAGCGTGCCCTCTGCTCTACTAATACCATTTATTACCTCTGGCATTGTCCAGATTCTCACACAGCTCGGACAGCATCTCAAAGGCCGTTTCCCGCTCATCGTCCTCATCATCATCTTCCCTATCTTCCTCTCCACCCCTCTCCCTTTCACTTCCTTCTTTGCACAGAACAGCCAAGCACTGCTTCATCTGCTCCACTTCATCCATCTGCCCTTTGCACAGTTCTGTAAGAGCTTCTCTCAGCCATGTTTTCCTCTGGAAGAAAGGCACAAAAAAAGAGCCTGAAGTAGTTTGTCATGCTGAATTCAAATTCTCTGATGTGATACCTCCAAGCAAGCATTAAGAAAAAAAATAAAAATAACGGATGTGGACATCAGTGTCTTACTCAGACACATGAGATTTCAAGTGATGTGCAATTATATATTACTGTACGAAAGTCTTGAGTCACTCCTCATTTCTTTATATTTGACTTCCAAGAAAGACTTTCTTTGAATTTTTAAGCAATAGTTGAGCAATAACTCTCCAGGATTTCCAAAGGTCTTTCAAAGTTTTTCTTTCAACATTGGCTTCTTTTTTTAAAAACTGACTTTCAGTCCAGTCCTTCTACCTGACCATTTTTAGAAGAATGCTTCTTTGTTTGTCTGTTGAACCACTTGACATTCAAGCACAAAAAAGGCATCAAACTTAAGAGACAAGGCCATTGCTGTGTCTACACAAGACAGAAAACTTAGCAAAAAACAGTTTAACATTTTATCTTTAAACATTGTTACAATTTCTTTAATTGAAATAAAAAAAAATGTCAAAGTTTTTAATAGTTTGAAACAGTGTTTTAGAGCCAACACGGTCATTCCCAGAGAGCTGCATGGTGTGCAAGGTTTCCTGAATTTGAGGAAACTGCACAAAGGGAGGACACAAGAGGAAGTAGCACGCCTGAAAAACTATCTACAGCAAATTAACAGTATACATAGCACTGTAGGTTTAAGATATCAAGCCCCTAAGTAGTATCAGTTATTGGCTGACAATTGAATAAAAACATTTGTGATAAATCAAGCTAAGAGAGAACATCATTGATGGCAATGGCATTTATTTACTTATCAAATTTAAACGTGTTGTCAAAGATATCCCCTTCCTACCAAAATACTGAGGACTAAGTGGGGTGGGGGGCTGCCAGCAGTTCTGATTGATATAATTTCTATACCTTGTTCACTACTTAAATTAAAAGTTTTCTGTGATCCAGTTTTGTCCTGTTCATTTCTGGCCACAATGTCCGGCTTTCTGTTTGACTGCAGTATTATACTTTTGTCTCTCAAAGCACTCTGAAAACTATGAAAATGTGATATATCAATAGTTTATGGTGGGATGTTTTGCAAAGCGGAGCAACACATGTTGCTACTGTAAAAACAAAAGTATTTATTATTGTTGTTGTTATCATTTTTGGATCTACTCTACTATATTATTATTATATCCTCATGTAAATAAGGCTTTTAGTTGACTAGTTGCTCATTCTACTTATTTAAGCCTTAGTTCTGTCAAAGCCACATTGTGAAGCTATGCTACAAGCATGTGTGTCCTGGTGTGAGCTACAAAGTCGACACCCAACAGTTTGTGTGGTCATCTGGCCTGATCCTGCTTAGGGTACAAGTACGTACCTCTTCTGACATGGGTTCAGGAGGGGCAGGACCCTCTGCAGCGGATCCAGCCTCCACTGCGAGCTGAAGGACCCCTTGGAGGTTCTGGGGATGTCTCCTGGTCTGCCTGTCTTCTGACATGGTGTTAACAGCTAAAGGGTAAAGTGGAGAAAAGAAAAAAAATCAACAAGACAACTAAAGGAATATTTCAAAATAACCTCAGATTAATTTAAGTGTACTAGCAGTGGTACCAGGTAAAGCCCCACAGTTTATATACCAGGATCATACTTTACTACAAACATACAGCTCTGCTAATAATGCAAAACCTGCTGCTAGCCTCTTATAACAAAGGGTATTATTGCCCACTTACCTTTAAACTGACTCCAAATCAACGTAAAGGTAACAGACAAAGTTTCTCTCTGAGCTCAAATACAGCTCTCTCCCTCTATAAACACAGAAACGTGAAGCGCTGGAACGTTCTAGCTAGCTCTTCATCTCACGAGCAAGAGCTCACGAGTGGCAAGGGGGGCGCCATGTTTTACCGTAAAAAGTAAACCAAACGGGCAAGCAAAGTAATTTTTGGATACTCTTTGCTCTCAAATCAACGTCATTTTAGACTTTCCATTTTTTGCTTTAAAGTCAGCTTTTCAAAATTATAATGCTGAACATCTGATTGACAGTATTACCTCAATATTTAAAAATGCATAGACGCAGTTTTTTCCTATACTAGTATAGTTACGGTAATCCAGTAACGCTGGTACGCACAGTTTACAAAGAGAATTAATTACATCAAAATAAATATATGCAAATCCCAGAAGAAACGTGTCAGAAGAAACTAAGGCATATCGATTACGATATGTTTGGTATTATTTATGTATCTGTTATAAAATACACACACCTTAATAATGAATGTAAAAAATAATATTTGCCTTTTAGATATCAGCAAACATATTATTAACAAACATTAAGTTCAGGCTACTTGGGATTGCTCTCTTATTTTTATCATAATAGCTACATAACTCATACTTTCTTTAAATGGGTTTCAGTCTTTTACTTAGTCTAATATAATAACATACAATAGTAGTATTAGTAGTAGTTACATTAATAGTTACTGTTTTGCAATGTGAACATTTTACGCACCAACTTAAACATGCGCATGCGCATGTACGTAAAGGAACGACATTCTTGGGGCTGGGAGATTATTTTCTTGAATTCCGATCGTCTTGGGTTTGTCAAGCCAGGAAAGATGGCGGCGCTTGTGGGGCTGCGTGCGTGTTTGTCCGGTAAATATCGTTTAATTCATTTAAACTATGTGACTCTGCTTGCATTTCTGACAGTTAATTGATTTACACCACCTTTATTGATTTATACATAATATCAAACACTGTTCGGACATTTAGAAGTACAAGAATATGAAAATAAAATGTGATGCTGTGTCTTCCGACAGCAGAGCAAGGTCACGTTACCAGTGACGGTTAGCTAACAATAAGACTAACCGAGGATGAAGAATGATTACTAAAATCAGCACCTGGTAACCAGAAACGAAGAAAAACATACTGTTGATATAGGTAGTCTTTAAAGAGAGGTGACGCCGTCCTTTTTGGATCTAAAGTCATTAAAATTGATTAATGTTAGCTGCAGCTGTTAGCATGATATAACCTGCCTGGTTTATGCAAAACTCTTTTTATTAGCGCTCTATATGGCACAGAAGCATCACGGCCGGTGCGAGTGCAATACATCCGGAGCTGTGCAGACATGCTGGCTGAGATTTTGAGGAAAAATGTGTGTGGCAGTCAGTGCTAATCTCATCTATGTGAGGGCACGACTGCACTGATTGAAAGGGAAATAAGGGCATGGACACCTAAATGTTCACTGACACAGAATTAATACATATTTCCGCATTTTAGAAAGATACATAGTTTAAATATGTTTGGCAATGTTTTAATTATTGTGTTGTGGCACCAAATAGTCACTCTTTATGTAAGTTTTTTTTGATTCCCTCTTCTCAGCCCTTCAGCTTTCTTCACCAAGCCTCCTGCACAGCTCCTTCAAATTGGTAAGTAGTTGCATGAAACGGCATGCTGCACGCTGCGAAGCACAGATTTTTTGCAGTGGTTAAATTATTGGGTTCTTCTTTGTCACGCAGTGTGCTGTGCCTCTGAGCCGGCGAACCTTCGCTGCGGAGGCGAAGAAGACATACAGCAGAGACAAGCCCCACGTAAACATCGGGACGATCGGCCACGTCGATCATGGCAAAACCACCCTGACGGCAGCCATCACAAAAGGTAGACCCACTCAAGCTGCTGCTGTCACACCGGTCTGGACACAGTCTGGTGTTAATGTGTGTAATAACTTTGTTTAGTGAATTTTGTAAGGTGAATTTCTATCACTCAATTCGATCCTCCCCAGTGCTCGCTGATGCTGGTGGTGCCCGCTACAAGAAGTATGAGGACATTGACAATGCCCCTGAGGAGAAAGCCAGAGGAATTACCATCAACGCCTCGCATGTAGAATACACCACAGCCAACAGACATTATGCTCACACAGACTGCCCTGGACACGCTGACTATGTCAAGGTATTCTTTTTCCTTTTTTTTACCTTTTCTTTTACCTGGATGCAGCCTGATGTTACCAGGTTGTAATCCCGCCTGTTTGTTTGATCATATTAGAAATGTGTCTGCTTTTCTTTTTCAGAACATGATCACAGGCACAGCTCAGATGGACGGCTGCATTCTGGTGGTGGCAGCCACTGACGGCCAGATGCCTCAGACACGTGAGCACCTGCTGTTGGCCCGGCAGATCGGTGTAGAGCACGTGGTGGTTTTCATAAACAAGGCAGACGCCGTGGAGGACAAGGAGATGCTGGAGCTGGTGGAGATCGAGATCCGCGAGCTGCTCACGGAGTTTGGCTACGACGGCGAGAACACACCCGTTGTGATTGGCTCTGCACTCTGTGCTCTGGAGGTGAGGAGAAACACTTTGTTAGTCTGTCAGTCAAAGAAATTTCAGAGCAATTTAATTTTGACATCCAGAAGTCAAAATTTTAGGTGATCTCAAATATTCAGCTTCTGAGAAAATAATTTGAATTTTAAAGCTGTCAAGTCAAAATCTTTAGGTGACCTCAGGCAAGTTTGTATTTTCATTTATTTTATTTTCCTCAGTGGTGGAGAACAAGTTTCAAACTACAATGTGATGTGTTTTAATTCGATTTTTCCCGCTCTATTTCAGAACAAAGCTCCTGAGCTGGGGGTGAATGCAGTGATGAAACTGCTGGAGATTGTGGACTCTTACGTTCCTCTGCCCAAAAGAGAGCTGGAAAAACCTTTCCTTCTGCCCATTGAAGGGGTTTATTCAATCCCAGGTAGGAGAAAACACTATCTGATATTGTCAGTCTGAAGCTAGTTGGGTAGAAATAATGGTGATTTCTCTTGATTTCCATTGGTTGCATCATGTAAAGTTGTAGGCAAATGGAAAAACAAAAGAAAACGATAAACTGTTTTTAAACCAGGATGCAGACCCCAAAAATCTAAACATCCAAATCAAGATTCACTCTTTTAAGAAATAAGGCTGAATTTTTAACCATCCTTGGCTTCGTTACTTTGTCAGACGATCTTCATGCACAACAATTCTAAATATTTTAGGCAAAGTACAAATAAAGATTTAAAGAAATTTATAAAAGAAATTAATATGCAAACAGTAAAATGAGTCAAAAGGACCTGAGCTTGAAAATCTGGGTGTCAACTTTGCCATAGAGAGCGATGCTCCAGTGATGTATTGTGCAGTTTTGTCACATGTTGCAGAGCTTTGCTGTACTGAACAGTGCAGCTTCCAGCAAAGCTCCAAAGAAACATTTGTACGGTGTTTTTGTTTTTCATATCCCACCAAGGACGTCTTCAAAGTTAATTTTGTCATGATGCAGTCACAGCTTTGGAGCGTCAGTAGCACAACTCATTAGTGATTTTACCAATTAGCAGTAAGAAGATTGCAGATCTCTGACTCTGTTTCTGATCTGAGAGCGAAAGCGTCGTGTACTTTGAGTCTGAAGGTTCCTGCTTGTGTTGCAGGCAGGGGTACGGTTGTGACGGGCACTCTGGAGAGGGGCGTCATCAAGAAAGGAGACGACTGTGAGTTTGTGGGTCACAACCGCAGCTTCAAGTCTGTAGTGACAGGTGAGGAACCTCCTATGATGTTAAGATATGAAATCATGGATAAAACATGACAGCTTGCAAATGAAATGTATCTTGAAGTGTGCATCCCCTTCATTTGTCTTCCAGCTTAGTTAATTTTTGTTTTTATTTTTCTTGGGTGCAGGTATTGAGATGTTCCACAAGTCTCTGGACCGGGCAGAGGCAGGAGATAACCTGGGCGCTCTGGTCCGAGGCCTGAAGAGGGAGGACATAAGGAGAGGGATGGTGATGTGCAAGCCAGGGTGCATCATGCCTCACCAGAAAGTCAGAGCTCAGGTGTGAGAGCCACAGAGTTTGACTACAGAGGGTTTTAATTATTTAAATTGGGGCAGTGTGACACTCAGTGGACAGATCAGGAATAGCACCACCTTTTATTGAGATTTTAAAAAAAAAAATTCATGAGTTTTCTACAGTTATCACAGTTTTATAAGCAGTAGTACGTGTTTATATATAACTGGAACTCTGCTGTGTGTGTCTGTGTGCGCTCTGTGTTACAGGTCTATGTACTGAGTAAGGAGGAGGGAGGCAGACACAAGCCGTTTGTCACCAACTTCATGCCCGTCATGTTTTCTCTCACTTGGGACATGGCCTGCAGGGTCACTTTACCTGCTGACAAGGTGTGTGTCTGTGTGTGTAGTTGTAGGTGTTGTAAGACATCTTAAACCTTTCAAGTGTTGTTTGAAGCATTGAGTGGTGATTAAAGCTGGTGTTGCCTCTCATTTACTGCTTTCTGCATTTATAAACACGGATTTCAGAGGAAACTGATGGTTTTCTTGCTCTTTTTTACTTTCCTTTAGGAAATGGTGATGCCAGGTGAGGACACCTCATTGACGCTCACTCTCCGCCAGCCGATGGTTCTGGAGAAAGGCCAGAGGTTCACTCTGAGAGACGGAAACAGGACCATCGGCACCGGGCTGGTCACAGAGATTATGACCACTACAGATGAAGACCAGTGCAACTGGGGCTGAGGAGGGCCTCTGCAGAGGGCTGGGCTCGGGGATGGAGTGGGTTGAGGGGGTGTGTCAGGCAGGAGGTTGAATGTGTGGCTGTCTGTGTCTGGTCAGATCAAATAATTATAGAAATACAAATGAACAATACATAAACACACACAGATGAACAGGATTCAGGAGAGGACCCGCAAAAACGCATGGCTCTGTTGTGCAGGTGCGCCTGACTAAAACACCTGTGATGTTCCACTGTCAGTCAACATTGTCATTTATGTAATAAAATGTATTTAATAATAAAACCGCCTCCTTTGTTTTGTGCTATTTGCTCGTGTATTCATGTGCTTGTTAAAACAACACAGATGCTGCAGAGAAGATTTATTTTATTTTTTAACCAACACGATCGCTGACAAAAGTAAATAACTGCTTTGGATTCACTGCAAAAAAAAATTAAAAATCAATAAAGTTAAAAAGAAGAAAATTTCTTGGTAATTTTCTCCTACTACATTACGGACATTTCCCTAAATGGGAACATTTATAGTTTGGTAAAAAAATAAAAACTACTAATGCAGAAAATTCATTCATTTAAAACTATGTTTTATTGTATTTTTAGGAAAGTCTCACATTAAATTTCTGAGCCGGTCACTTACAATTATATTTTACACAACATGACTGCACAGCACAAACAGTATCCCTGTGTGTAGAAAGATTAAGAAGCCACAGGAGGGCAGCAAAGAAGTTCCTCATCAAAGACTCAAAGTCTGTTGTATCGTTTATGAGGTATAACACACTGAAAACAAACTACAAACCCAACTACAGGATTTTGCCGAGCCACCTCATTAACAGTTTGATGCTGATGTGAAAAAGTCGACATCCCACAACAGGAGCCAAACTTTAAGCAATAGCTCTTTAGACTTTTTTAAGGTCCTTTAATGTTGTTTTATTTTTTGTTTTTTTCAGATACAGATTTAAGATTATATGCTCCCTAATCTCTCTTACATGTAATTTAGTTTTGCAGTTACGGAAGCGAGTGTGGGGTTTGAATCCACCATGTTGTCCTGAGCCTTTGTGTGTGGAGTTTGCATGTTCTCTCACGGGTGCTCTGGCTTCCTCCCACAGTTAGTGGGGTCAGGTTAATTAAAGAGTAGGACTGGTTGTCTGCCTCTCTGTGTTAGCTTTGTGACGAGCTGGCGACCTGTCCATGGTGTACCCTGGCTCTCGCCCCGTGATAGCTGGGTTAGCCCCCCGCCCCCACGACCCAGATAAGCATAAGAGAATGGATTGATGATTAATTTTTGGTAAATTTGTTTTAATACACAAAATCACACTGCACTGTATTCTAGATGATTGGTTTATATGGGTTGAGGGATAATTAAGGAGCATTCATGATTGTTTTTCTTTGTTTTCTTCAGTTACATGTGTGCTGCACCCATCCTCCCTGATTTGAGCAAAGGTGGAGGCTGAGGGTGAAGTTTCTTTAAAAGCAGAGGCCAACCAAATGAACTACTAACTAACATGAGGATAAGTAACGTTTACATTAAACGGTGGGTGCATACAGTGTATAAAACTCACCCAAATACTCATTCAAAGAAGAGTCGATACTGCAGGTCAAATTTTTCAGGTTAAGAAAAACTGTTGTTTTTTTTTAACATAACCAAACAACCATGTGCATCAAATGAGATTAATGGGATGATTGTTTCATAGCTGTTGGATGGTGACAGTGTTCGACTTTAGAGCCATTCAGCAGGTCTCAGCCAGCCTGACCTCAGTGTGCACTGAGCAGTCGGTGTCCCTCTGCTCGTTCATTCCCAGAAGGAAGCGCTCCAGTTGCTCCATGTTTGCTGTCGGTATTTGAGTCAGTGCCTCCTGTAATCCAATCAGCTCCGTGCTGTAATCAAATACTGTATGTCTGCAGGAATCGAGGCTGGAGCAGCAAGTACTACTGAGTGATGTGCTCAGCTGGAGGGTAAACATCTCCATGAGCAAAGTTACCTCTGCGAGACAGACGCAGATGACCAGACTGAAAACCGTAGTATGTTTCACTGATACAAACCTTGGCTGTGTGTTAACACTTAATGCTGAATGTGGTTCAGCTGTGTTTAAACCTGCTGGGGATGTTTGCTGAATCATGCAACAACAGTTTTCGTCTTCATTTTAGCAACAAGAGATGTTTTAGGGTCGAGACTTGGTTACAGGGTTAGGTTGGACCTCTGTCAGCTCTCAGCATAACTTGTTTGGTTGCCTGAATTTAAAAAAAGACAGTATAAAATTTTATTGATTATAATCATGTTTTGATAAAGACTGGTTTAAACATTTCCATTCGCTTCTGCTTATCCTTTTCAGGGTCGCAGGGGGTGCTGGAGCCTATCCCAGTCTGTCGCAGGGCCAACACACAGAGACAGATCACCATTCGCGCTCACTTTCACACCTATGGGCAATTTGGATTCATCAATTAATCTATCCCCACAAACTGCATGTCTTTGGACGGTGGGAGGAAGCCGGAGAACCCACGCAAACACTGGGAGAACATGCAAACCCCACACAGAAAGACCTGATGGTGGCATTGAACTCAGCACCTTCTTGCTGTGCGACAACAGTGTTAACCACCGTGCTGCCCGTTTAAATGCTTTTGTTTCCCCAACTATTAAAAACAACAATTAGCAATAAAATCAGTGGAAGGAAGGAAAGTATACATATACTCACTGGCCATTTTATTAGTTACACCTTGTTAAACTTAGTTGGATCTCGTTTGGTCAGCAGAACTGCCTCCATTCTTCATGCCATAGATTCAATAAGGTGCTGGAAACTTGCCTCAAAAATTTGGTCTATGTCCTGTTGACATGACAGCATCACACAGCTGCTGCAGATTTGTTGTCTGCACGTCCATGATGTGACTCTCTTGTTCCATTACATGCTAAAGATGCTCTGCTGGATTGAGATCTGGTGACTGTGAACTCACCAAAACCAGTTTGAGTTGATTTGTGGTAAATCTTACTGGAAGCAGCCATTAGAAGATGGATTCAACTACAAGGCAGAATGGGTCCCTGCTTTCACGCTACTTAAATTCTTACAAAACTCATCAGACCAGGTGACATTTTTCCAAACTTTTGTATCCCAATTTTGGTGAGCCTGTGCAAACTGTAGCTTGAGTTTCCTGACAGGTCAGTGTGGTTGCACCTGTTGTGTACAGTCACATTTCTCACATTTTAGATTTTCCCCCCTTTTCTTTATTACATAATGATATCCAAGCAGGCTTCTTTAGCACAGCCTCTATTAGAATTTGATCATAGTTTACACTGCAGTCAAAAACGCCCTGATTTCCTCCCACAGTCTTTCCCAGACAGGGTGGTGTTTTTCTTACCAGCTATGTTACGTTCACGAGTGCACTACTCTAACCTTTAAGCTGCTCACACCCCTCAAAAGAATAGCATGACGCCGCCTTAGCTGCTCGGTGTTGCTGTTAATGGAAGGAAAAGCTGCAATATAATATAATAATAGCAAGAAGACGCTGGTTTCCGTGACATGTTCAGTCTTGGTTAGAAGTGACACTGGAAGGCCAGCGAGAGCTTTAATGGTTTCGTTATCAACGTGAAGACTCATTACCCAGAGCCTGATTATTAGGACATGAACGTTGGCTAACTAGGATTTATATCAAGCTGAACTAGGATCTAAATGCAGAGACCTCAAATCAACTTTTAAGGTTTTTCTGAAGTGATGATTAACGACATGGGAGCTACGTTAAGCTCCAGGCTGTTTTTGTTATTGAACCTGTCCTAAACATTTTCAACTCCACTAAACTGAAATGAGGAGACAACAACAGTGCTATTTTTGTCTTCTCTAAAAGGGCCACATAGAAGAATTTTTTTTTAAGAATTTGTCCGTTTTGAGATTAAACTCAAAATACTATTTAGCACATAGACATGGTGTGGTGACGAGTATACAGACGTTGAACAGAGTGTGCAGAAAGCTGGACGAGTCGGCTGGATTTGTGCAAGATGTAATAGTTGGCAATGGACAGATGCAAGGATATCGATGGTTACACCCTTGAGCAGTATAGAGGGGGTATGTTGTATCACAAGACACAATAAGACTAGTTGTTTCACTAACTCATCTACACTGGGCATTTTGTAAGGGGGTATAGCAGCCGTGGCAGTGGTTTGACTTTTTGGCACTTTTTGGCTTATTAGCAAAATTAGCAATCCTTCTGGGTTTTTTGCCTTTTTTAAACGTGTTTCAAATACTGTCTCGTAACATTTAACCTTTTTTAAAAACAATGTGTTGCATTTTAACAACAGATAGAACACACAGGAACAGGAAGCAAAGTGTTAAGAAGCACCCATGCCATATATGTTCTTGCACAGACAGAGTGTGTCATATTTTGGGGTTAAGTTTTATTTTGTTTGTTTGTTTCTTGACCAAAAGCTCCAGAAACAATGAGTTTGCAGCGTTTAGTAAGTTCCGCAAATTGAACTCTATGCGTGATTTTATAGAATATAATCTAGGTCTAAAATGTCCGGAGTTATTGCTTGAGGAACGGAAATGCAGCTGTTAGTGCTGCATCATGTTATTTTCTTTTTTCCACACTCCACCTCCTTCTAGGAGCTGAAGTAAAGAATAGAGCTGGTCCAATTAAGGCTGAATTTGCCTTTCAGCAACCCACTCTGCATGTTTGAAGACTGACCCTCAGCGGCTTCTCATCCTCCACAACAGTGCAGAGTGGGTGGGAAGGATCCCAGGTTTATTCTCAGTGCTCCTTCCATCACACACAGCACATCTCAGAGGATACAGACGGATAAAAGTAAGAGATTGTGCTTTCATTTGGCACTAATAGCATGAAAGTCAAATGTAATTAAACACAGAACAGTTTGCCACGAGTTTAATATTTCTCACAGCCTCGCTGATATGCCAGGTCACATTAGCTGGTAATTGAGTAAAAGTAGATCTGGGTAGAATTACGATTAGACAGAGGTACCACCAGCACATAGGGGCAATAAAATATTTGCACATTTTAACCAAATGTGGAGTGTTTCCTATCAGTGGAGACTTTCTGTGACTGTGAAAGAGAGATAAAGAGAGTGAAAATAACCTGTTAAACAACAGCAGGAACAGTGACGAAGGCTCTACATTAGATTTCTGTGGTGTGAGTATATGTGCATGTGATCCCTCTACAAGTGCTCAAGGTTACAGGGCAGCGAAATCCAAAAGAACTGCCAAGTCTTGCGTGTGTGTATGCAAAGACGTGACTGATTGGTTGCATAAGAGCGAAAGAAGAAACCTCTGACCCCAACCAGATACCCTCAAA